GTCTCTCAGTCCACCAAATTTCTCCTGACCAGCTGTGTCCCACACGTTGAACTTAACAGGCCCTCTGTTGGTATGGAACACAAGGGGATGGACCTCAACACCCAAGGTAGCTACATACTTCTTCTCAAATTCACCAGTCAGGTGGCGTTTCACGAAGGTAGTTTTCCCAGTACCACCATCTCCCACCAGTACAAGTTTGAACTGAACTTGAGGTTCTCCTTGGGCAGCCATCGTGATGTTACTTCCAGAAGCGTCTCCACGCCCGTCGAACTGAGGCCATAAATTCTCTTTATTTTTCTTATGTCTTTAGTATTTAGTGACCTTAATTTTGAAAACCAAGACTTTCTCATCTTGGCTAGAGGTCACCAAGTCTAAGGGTCTGTTCATGCTTGGGTAGTAGATTTTACAGGGGCCGTTGGCCCAGAGGTGGCCAAGGGGTTCCACATAAGGAAACCTCATGAGAAGGTCAAGTCCATGAGAAGGTAAAACTGAGGGTCAGGTCAGGGCCAAGTGGTAAGGGGCCCCTGTGCCTGAAATTCTTCTTCCGGTTCTCATATCTGCTAAAGACAGGAAGGGTTCTGTGTTTGAGTTTCATTAAGGGGCCTGCTCCTCTACATCTAACAGTCAACAAATCCAAAAGGGAACTGACTTATTGCTGCTGGTTATCAATTGCCATCCCTAAAATGTGCGTTTTATGTCTCTGTTAATGCTGTTATGCAACTTCTCTGAATTTGTCTCCTCACTTGTAAACGTGCAGTGCCAAGACTTGACCTAAGTACCTCTCAGGGTTCCCCTACACAGATTAGGCCTTAATCTGCACTCTTTTAACCATGTCACTCCACTGTTTTCAAAAATAAAAAACAATCTGAGTCAAATATCTATTTTTATTAGGTTTTTCAAGGGTCCTTAAGAGTATTCCAGCTCTGTCCACTCTCTCCTACAATTATATAACACTGAGCAGTCATTATTTTCATTCTCTTTGCATGCATTCTATTCTGGGTTTCTATCTAACTGTCATAAATTTGTGAAACAGAAAAACACATCCCTGCCTGCCTTTAAATACAATTTCCTGTTTACATAGCTTTGACAAATTCATGCTGATTGACTCCTGTCTTTTTTTAAGGCCAAGTGCTCAATTATAAAGTATTTTTACAGGGGTCCATCTTACCTTTTATACATCATCAACCATCTTCTTATTCATTCAAAATAAATTTAAAATTCCATACATCTCAGCATTTGTACCTTCATCCATCACATGGATCTAAGATATATCCTAACTCTTTAATAAATTGCTAAAAAGAAAATTAGCTAGGATTAGTGAGAGTCATTGCATGGGCTCTAGAAAAGGGGAGACAGTCTAAAAACTTAAACACTACAAAGCATTATCTTGCTGAGATTATGGCTAAATCACCCTTTGTATCTGTGCTCAAAATCTCATGTAAAACATATAAGAAAATCAACTCTCTTCAATGAGTGCATAATATAATTTACTTATTAAAAGAATACTCATCAAGTAGAGGAAGTTTCCTTTCCTTCAGAACCTTTTAACCTACGCTGTGCCCGGAATACACAGACACACACACAAACAGTATTGATTTCCAGAATTTCTCCATGGAATGCCAAAAATAATAAACAAAAAATAAATCAAAAGCAACAGCCTCCTTCCATTATGTATTAAATATCTTCCCCATGAAGTTAGGACAAATAGAGATGTATATAGAGAGCAATGGAAACATAAATCTATTGTCGTAGTAATCGATTTCTGCCTTGTTCCTTTATTTCTAGTAAATAATGATCTTCAGGTCTTTCATGGTGGCACTGTAGCCAAAGTCAGCCTCAAGATCCCTGGAAGTGTTTCATCTTTGATAAAACTAGTGATGCTGCTTTCTCTCCAAAATCATTACACTCACCATTTCCTGTTGTAGAGTAGAAACAACACTTAGTAGAATGAGAAGAAATTTAAAAGGATATTCACTTTAAGAGCTTTCTGGCCAGCCATGTATATGGTTAATGAAACATTGTATATTGTTCTATGGCAAATAAGAAAGAGAAGTTCTCTAGAAAATGTGGCCCTGGCATATTACCATTAAACTCCTGAAAATGAAGATAAAATATTGATGTTGAATACTAGAAAAATCATGAAAAGTCTTAAATATTAAGTAGATCTGATTAGACCTGAAGCTCAGCCAAACTGAGAAGTCTCAGCTAATGAGATAAAAAAGAAAAATAATTTAACTTACCTAGATATGTGAATTCAGTAAGCAAAGACCACTACTGCAGTTTTATACAGACCTTCATGTTCCTTCGCATTGCTCATTTCTCAGCAAAATTCATGGCATGATGCATGATCAAGTCAGATCATTAGATTTTAGGATATACAGGAAGACGTCAATTTATTTATAAGATAAACAATTGAGGTTGAATTCTGAATCTGGCACTTAATTATCTATATGCCTTGAGAAAAAAATCATGTAACCTTTTTATATAATGAGGTTGCATAGAGATATAGATGGAAAGTAATAGATAACTGTCAAGCTTCTATTTAAAGCATGTGGTTTGTGTATTCTAGTTTGAAACCAAGATGCTTTCTGGAGCGAGGGAGAAGGGATTCCAAGAGGGACAGAGAAAAAGTAACATGGGGCAAATATAAATCCTGTAATGTGAGCCTTTCTCTTTATTTTAGTACTAGCAGCAGCAGCATTAGTAGTAGTAGGTGGTGGTGGTAGTGGTGATGGTGGTGTTATTTCCAAAGGCAAAACTCACATAAGGTTGGCACTCATGGTCTCAGTGGCCTAGTCACTAAAGCTCATATATATCTATCTTTTTGTGTATATATATATTTTTTTTAATTGAAGTATAGTCAGTTTACAATGTGTCAACTGCTGGTGTACAGCGTAATGCTTCAGTCATGCATGAATATACATATACTTGTTTTCATATTCTTTTTCACCATAAGTTACTATAAGATATTGAATATAGTTTCTCATGCTATATAGTTTGAACTTGTTGTTTATCTATTTTATATATAGTGGTTAGTGTCTGTAAATCTGGAATTCCCAATTTATCCCTTCCACCCCCTTCTCCTCCTGGTAATCATAAGTTTGTTTTCTATGTCTGTGAGTCTGTTTCTGTCTTATAAATAAGTTTGTTTGTCTTTTTTTTTAAATTCCATATATAAGTGATATCATACGGTATTTTTCTTTCTCTTTCTGGCTTACTTCACTTAGAATGATGATCTCCAGGTCCACCTATGTTGCTGCAAATGACATTATTTTATTATTTTTATGGCTGAGTAGTATTCCATTGTATAAATATACCACAACTTCTTTACCCAGTCATCTGTCAATGGACATTTAGGTCGTTTCCTTGTCTTGGTTATTGTAAATAGTGCTGCTATGAACATTGGGGTGCATGTACCTTTTTGAATTAAGGTTCCCTCTGGATATACGCCCAGGTGTGGGATTGCTGGGTCATAGGTTAAGTCTATTTTTAGGAGTAAAGACAGTCTCTTCAGCAAATGGTGTTGGGAAAACTGGACTGGAAAGCTGTATGTAAATTAATGAAGTTAGAATACTCCCTCACACCATTTATAAAAATAAATTTAAAATGGCTTAAAGATTTAAACAATAAGATGACACTATAAATCTCTTAGAAGAATCATAGGCAAAACATTTTCTGATATAAATCACAGCTATGTTCTCCTAGGGCAGTCTAACCAAGCAATAGAAGTAAGAGCAAAAATTAACAAATGGGACCTAATTAAACCTACATATCTATCTTAATAAGTTCAATTACTTCAGTGAATCATTCAGTCAAGACTCATGCTTTGCTCCAGCCCCTCACTTCAGGATATGCACCTTTTATAAAGGGCTATGTTTCTCTGACACAGATGTAGGAACTGAGTTTTTGTGGGACCTTGTAGGTGGATGTCAAACATAAAATAAATGCTGACTGAATCTTATGGAGAAATCAATTGTGTCAACCACAGATTTTCTGGGTCAGTAGGTTAGATGTAATAGAAGCAGTGACAGATGCCTAGGATGATGACTCTTGCAGTCACCAATCAAGCCAGTCAAAAACAATGTTAAAAGAAACAGATACCCTACAACCAAAGAGATTAGAAGAAATGATGTGTTTTGTGCAATAAATTAAATCTGTGATGCCATTAATGAACAGCCCTCATATTCCTCTAACATTCCTCCCCCTGCAAAATTACGCCCATCATGTCTGGGTAACGGTGCCGTGAGGTCAACCAAAGCCCATGGACTTAATACAGATTAATACTTTATAGTTCTTCGAGTGAGGGTTTTTTTTTTCTTTTGATGAAGTCTTGATATCTATGCCCCACATCCCCACTTTAACCCAACGATCGTCACATGAAAGAAGTGCTACCAGTGACAATTCAATTTGCTTTTTCAAGAATTTGCAAATGTAGGCAAAGTCGGCTGGGAATGATGCATCTTTTACACAACTTTTACATTAAGAAGACATGAGCTCTATTGGATTACTATCATAGAGGCAAGAACAGCAAAAACTAAAAATGACATGTTACCTAATCATTACTTTGACAATAATTGTCAAGAACAGAATTTCTTTATAGATTTTGGACGTAGCCTTTGAAGCAAAAAAAGGACTCAGATGCTGTGTCGGCCTGAGCTAAAAGGATTTTAAAAATTTAATCTTTAAGAGAAGCTCCTGAGATACAGGCTAAAAGAGTTTATAAAGGTCATAAAAAAATTAACTTATCTTGCTGACTGAAGCTTTTTTAATGCACTCTAAGTTACAAAGGAATCGCATCTGGAGCCTTTAGGCCAATGGTCTACTATATTTTTCTCTCATTAGTAAGGACAGCAAAAATCTGCATTGGGATTTTTACCACTGCAATCATCTCGGATTCATTAGTCTTCATGATTGAATATGAGGAGAGCACGGAGCCAGTGGTGCAGGAATATTTCGTACTTACCTCATTTGCTCACACCGCAGTTCCGGAGGCAGCCAGAGTCAGGAGGGGAGTGGGCCTGCTCCCAGGGCTCCACGCGGTTAAGAGTCAGTCTGACTTCCATCAGGCCCAACTGAAGGAAATAAATGCAATAAAAGGTCTTTAAGGCCAGGACTATTGCTTACATAAAGGAAAGTTCATACCTCGCTTGATACAGAGCATCAAAAACAAAATGGGAGGGGCCTCTACAGATGTCATTGGCACAGGGTCGGACCATTCCTGAGCATTACTC